GAGACCTTTCATTTGAGTACCCACATCAATTTTTGATATATTTTATATATTTATATATTTATATATATGAATATATGAAAAATATATTAAAATGCATGTGGGTACTTAAATGAAAGCTCTTGATGAGTATAACATCGGGATGAGCTTATATCTTTAAAAATGTCAATATTTAAAAAAGTACAGTGCAATTGAACCAAAGTCATTAATTTAATAAAGCAAAATCTAACTATTTATAGTGCACTAGTCACGGCAGTCACTATGTGACTGCAAGGTTGCTAGTTATTACTATTTGGTAAAAAAAAATAATTAATATCAAAATTTACATTTTACATTTTTTTTTAAACATTTTTTTCAATTTAAATAATAATAACAACTTTAAAAAAAATTCAAATTATTCTTTTATTATTATTATTATATAATTAAATTGACAGATCTTATCAATTACATAATTCTGAAGTTTGAATTTTAAGAAAGTGTATAAATTTATTATTATCAGATAAAAATATGTTTATTATCATTTTATGACTTACCTTGACAGTAAGAAAAATTTATTATCAGAAAAGCATGTTGGATTTAGTCATTGTAGTCATTATCTTATTTAATAATACTAAAATAAATATTTTATAATAATATACTAAATATGTAAATATAAATTGATTTTTTATTTTTTAAATATTCAGATAAATTTTAATTTATACTCTGATAAACGCATTTATACGTACCGAGTATTTTTTGATAAATAAAGTTGAAATAATTAATAATAAATAGAGAAAAATATTGGTGATTTGGTTATCAACTTTTATAAGTTATTGCTTCATTACTTAATTATTTAATAAATTATTCCCCTTTTTTTATTTAAAAATATTATTTATTTACACTGAAAAAAAATTTATTCAGAAAAATTCTTAAACCAAGAAAAATTTCTTAGTTCAAGAATTTTTTTACTCAAATCAAGATGAAATTTTTCAAAATTATTTACTTAATTCTACATTTTTTTTTTCTGTGTAAATATTATAATTTTTAATAATTAATTACTGAAATTTCAGTGCTGGAGGTCTTGTTACTGCAGTAGCGCCTGTAGTGATAAATGGCAACGGAATCTGGGTAGGATGGCCAGGTATGCACATGGAAGATGTAAACGAGCAAATTCCAGAATCTGATCCTAATGACAAAACTCCAACCGCTGGTTTACTCTCGAGTAAGGTAAGATTAATTAAATGATAATAATTATTATTATTATTTCTAGTCTTAATGTCAATTAAAAAACATGGAATATTCCATAAGTACTTTATTTTTTCATTTTTTAATTGGCCTCTATAAATATATATTCTGATTTTTAATTTTTTAGATAAGATAAAAAATAGACTCACCAAAAAATGGAAAATTTTCTAGACTTGCCAGTAAATTTATTATTAAATAATCAAGTTAAAAATTTATCTTAGAATTAAATGGCCTTGACAATGGCAGTACCTTGACAATTAACAGAATAATTATTTGTTGGCTAAGCGATGACCACACTAGCTAGTGAAATGACAATAAACAATAACAATGTTCATAAGATCAACACTAGCGTTAATTAAATTAAATTAAATTAAATAAAGTTGTGTTAATTAATTAAATTTATCTAATATTAAACAATATATGTTTGATTTTTAATAAGCAAACTATAAATATCTTGCAAATAGCTGATAATTATCACGTTACTTCCACGTGCTGGTATTAACAAAATAAGAAGAACAATGATATGATTATTATATATAATAGGATAAAGTGATACACAACAACTAACAAATGGTATCGCTTATCCTTGTAAATTATTAACAGATGATCTCGGGTCATTCTCACAATGATAAAAATTTTTTAAAAATTATATTTTATGTTATTAAAGTGCAGACAATAATTAATAAACAAGCTGGTGATAAACGGTTCAGTAGAGTTCGCCAAATGTCTAGCTTATAATTGATTTTATTGATTATTTTTATCAATATAGAGAGAGACTTATTATCGGGTTATTTAAAAGTATTTGTTAAAATAACAATTTAATTGATGAGGCGTTAATGTCACGTGCTCGAGTCATGCTCTGACCTGTTAATAAATTGTATAGTACGGTTGTATAGTAATGGGTGGATTTTATGTTAATGATAATAATAACTTTAGTTTAAATCACGATGCTCGACGGGGTCGGGTTATCATTGATACAGCACCCCATAGCTTATAACCACGCATCGTTATCGTGGATTTTAATACTTAAAAGTTATTTGTAATTTTAAAATCTACGTAATTCTCATACTGAAAATTTATCTATGATAACTCATTATTAATCACTTATATATAACGAGAATGATTAGAACTTTTTTATTTTTTGATGGGAAATTTTTGAGAAGAATATGTTACGTGATTAAATTTAATAATAAAAATGAGTAATTTTTAATTTGATATTTATTATTATTATCCTTAAAAAACAATAACAATTATAATAATAAATTAAAAGTTATAATTAATTCTTAATTAAATATTTATTATCGATATTATTAAGAGAATAAACAAAATTTTGTAGCTAATGTATTTAGATAATAAAATAGGTTTTTATGGTTAAATTTCCTATCATTGGAAAAGTCTTGATCTGGAGCTGTGCCTTTTTAGAGTTTCATATCATTTTTATCAATAGTCAATTTATAATGATAAGTATTTAGGCTGCATTCGAAAATACTCTATCTCTAGATACATAATTAAAATATGACCCTGTATCTCGAGAACTATCGACATTTTTAAAGATATAAGCTCATTCCGATGTTACACTCATCAAGACCTTTCATTTAAGTACCCACATGCATTTTGATATATTTTTCATAAATACATATATATAAATATATAAAATATATGAAAATATGATGTGGGTATTCAAATGAAAGCTCTTGATGGGCATAACATCGGGATGAGTTTATATCTTTAAACACATCAATAGTTAAGAAAGTACAGGGCATTTTAACAAATATCTTGTGAACTATTGACATTTTTAAAGATATAAGCTCATGCCGATGTTATACTCATTAAGACCTTTCATTTGAATACCCACTTGCATTTTTGATATAT